AACGACCCAGGATCTTGGCCTACATGGCCTTCTGCGAGGTTTCTCAGGACCAGTCTCCTGGAACACCAGCTGCAGCAGGTGATTGCGGATTCAAGGTGCTGACCTCCAGCGACCCTGCTGAGAAAACCAAAAAGCTCTCAGCGGAGCTTGCTAACGGAAGACTTGCGATGATGGCCATCATCGGGATGTTTTTCCAGGACCCTTCAGCATGCAAGTTGTCCATGCTTGGTCAGGCGGCGCGTCATGCTGAGCTTGTAGACCCCTTCAACATGCAAGTACTTATCACGCAAACTTCCCGTACGTCGGATCCCTGCGAAACCCTGGTTCATCATTTAAAAACTGCTAAGCCAGAATCCTCACAACCCTCCAACCCTATCCCTTCACAAGCTTGTAATGCGCAGTTGCATTTGCGAAGGACGGCCTCACAGGATCCGCGTGGGGTGATTGGGCAAACTACACTGCCTCTGGGTTTAGGGTTAAGGTTTTAGGGCTCGGGTTTGTAACCTTTAACAGTTTAGCGCTTCGCGCTTTCGGATTCCGGGCTGAAGGTTTAGCTTCGTCTACCCTTTAGAAGCTAAAGCCTAAACTCGAAACTTCAAAGTTAGTTTGTGCATATATATATATATTCATATATTGCGTAGCCCCAAAAAGCCTAAAGCCTAAACCGTGCACATTTTGTTGTCATTCCTTTGGGGTGGTTTCTAAGAAAAAATGCCGATACATTCCTAGGTACCCTGATGATTCCTACAGCCCCCTTGAAAGGTCCGGAAAGTATCCCACTTGGGAAACTTTGGGCCCTCAACCCTAAGCCCTAAACGCTAAGCGCTAAACCCTTACCCAGAAGCCCTGGCCTGTACCGCTAAGTCCTATAATATCTCCACATACCTCTTCTCACCTCTCTGAGGGGTCCCTATATTTTACGTGAGGGTTTAGGGTTTAGGGTTTACCACACATAGCCTTCTAATAGATTACCACATCTCGCCTTCAGATGCCCCACCCCCGAGCTTTAAGGTTTTAGGCTTGTAGATAGACACAGATGGAAGCATCACACGATACTTAACGGTCCATGCCACATGCACCCACATCTATATACTTACATGTCTCTGCATGCTGCTTGAAGCCCTAGAAACCCTTTAATTTTCCCCTTTCGAGCATTCACCTAAACAGTAAATTGCAAGCACTGAACCTTACATCTGCAAATCCCAATACCCTCTTTTACCTAACACCCATTTCCCCCATGGCCCACCCTTTTTTGGGCCCGCAACCCCATCCCTGAATCCTGAATCCCCACAGCCCTGTACCCTCTTTCAAGGTCCCTTTAACCCCTTCAATATTTTCGTCTGCATATATATATATATACACCACTGCACATCTTATAGCCCCATATCTACTCATATATCCCTTCAAAGGGTTCCTAGAGCACCCTCCAATCCCTAAACCCATAAACCAAACCCTGAAACCCTCAATGACTCAATCCCAAAAACCCAAATCCGAAGCCGTAAACCCACCACTTAAACGGCTTTAAAACCTAAACCCTATAAACCCCTAAACCCTAAACCCCGAAACCCTAAGCCCTACTTAATATCCCCCTTTAAAGGTATCCCTAAACCCCTAAACCCCTAAAACCCTAAAACCCCTAAACACCCTAAACCCCTAAACCTTTTTGGGCTCTGAGGCTTCGCCCCTTCGAGCCGAGCCCGTCTCCGCGGCAGCGGCCGCCGCGGCGGCTAAGGCCGCTGCTGCCAAGGCATGGCTCAGACCGGAACCCTAAGGGTCAAAGGACCCAAATAATAGGATCCCTTTTAAGGGGTTATAGGGGGATATATATAGGGATATATTAGGGGACTATATAGGGGTATATAGGACCCAAATAATAAGGTTTTAGGGCCCAAATACTATACTATGAATGGTATTTGGGCCCTAAAATCCTATTATTTGGGTCCTTAGACCCTTAGGGGAAGGGCCCACCTATTCAAGGGGTTAGTTAGGGGTTTTGGGTTTAGGGGGGTTTAGATTTAGGGTTTAGGATTTAGGGGTTTAGGATTTAGGGTTTAGGATCAAGGATTTAGGATCCAGGGTTTAGGATATAGGGTTTAGGATATAGGGTTTAGGATTTAGGATTTAGGGTTTAGGATTTGGGAGTTTAGGTTTTTGGGCTTCGGGTTTAGGATTTAGGGTTTATAGTGTTTAGGGGTATAGTGGGAGTTTTAAGGATATGGAAGGATGTACGGGAATTGTTGGCAGTTTCGGCTCAGCACACCCTCAAAGGGCCTCTCTTCACATCGAAATTGTAGATGGCGCCTATAGACTACTCAGAGAACGCGACGCGAGCCGAGCTTTCTTGCGAGCCTAATTCAGAGTCCAAAAGGTTTCTAACGGCATTATAACTATGACTGTTGCATTCTTTGTCAAATCTGCTTCTGAACCTCTCGCTATGTCGCGACCTTTGCAAGGCCTGCACATATAAGTTCTAGCATTACTTCACCACAAGCATCTCCACATTCTGCCCGCTGCCAAAATCAGCATAGGGTGCGGTACAATAGCAGCAGCCGCTGCAGCAGCAGGAGTAGGAGTAGGAGTAGTAGTAGCAGCAGGAGTAGCAGCACTGATTCAAGTACAACAGTGGTAGCAGTAGAGCAACCGTAGTGAAAACTGAGTAAACAGTCACAATAATTAGTGAGAGTTGTAGAAAGGGTTGATAGGGTCCTACATGAGTCCACCGCATAAATTGTAGAAGTGATGATTATTCTGACAGCAGCAGGCCGGCGCCAGCGCTGGCGCGAAGACCGTGGCCGCCACTACGGGCGTTGGCGCCGGCACCGGCAAGTCCTTGAGCGGCGAGGGCGAGGACGTGCCCCCCGAGCCCAGCTTCGACCCTGCCAACGAGGTGGGTGTGACCGAGCCCTTTGGCTACTTCGACCCTGCAGGCTTTTGCAAGAAGGGTGACAAGGCTGGCTTCCGCAACTTGCGCGCGGCCGAGATCAAACACGGAAGAGTGGCCATGATGGCTGCAGTGCCCTGCCGATTGGGAATGGAAAGCAAGAAGGGAACGACTTTAGTATTTAGCCTTTAGACGTACAGGTGCAGTGGAGGAATCTTTTAAAGAGACTATTTCTCAGGTGTTTTTACGGTTACTCCAAAAAGACAGGGATTCAATTTCCCATTCCCAACGACGCCCGGGTAAGGTGGGTGCCGTCTTCCAGCACTACGTGAAATTCCCGGGCTTCGAGAACGTGCCGTCCGGACTTGCAGCTGTGGAAGTGGCTCCAGGCACCTACGGCTTCGCAGCTCTCTTTGCCGTGGCTGGCCTGCATTCCTTCTTTACTAAATCCCGTTATACTTTCCCCTGTAGAGTATACCTACAAAGCCAGTTACTTTGGGTCAAAGTAGCCCATTATTATGGGTATTCTAGGTAGAGCCACCCCCATACCTCTGAAGGATTTTTTAATCTGAAAAAGAAGCGTTGCTCAGGTGGCTGGCCTACTGGAGTTGGGCGCCTGGACCGAGGATCCCTCCAAGGAGCCGGGCAACTTCGGTGACCCTGCTGGCCTGAACCAGTACCTTGACGCTCTGATTATGAGGTCTACCTTTCCGGGGGTTTATAGGGCTTTGGGTTGTAAAGCAGGACCAACATGCAGGGGTTTCAGGTACACCCTGGAGATGCGCAACCGCGAGATCAACAATGGCAGATTCGCCATGTTCGCTGCCATTGGCATCATTGCCGCCAATGTTTACACAGGCAAAGACGCCATTGAGCAGTTCGGAGCATGAGCAAGATCATTTTCTAATCTTAGCCAAAATGGTTTTAACAAGAGGCCTGCCATCGCTGCGACGTGGGCTACCAGTCCTCAGAAGTAAAACTGCATAAGCTCTATGATGAGTGAAGCAATACTGTAGTAGCATGATGATAGTCACCCTTACAAGCAGGTTGAACAGACCATATCATCATTGTCATGTTTGCAAGAGCTGGCTGCCGACGCCCAATCAAAGTATTGGCAGGCTAACTAACTTTGTAAATTGCTCAGGCTTGGCCTCTTGCCATAAAGAACCTTTGCCTTTCAGGGGAGCCAGCGCGTTGTAATTCCTAAGTTCGTTTCGGAGAAGGCCAAGCCGGCTTTTAATGGCTGCTAGCATCCAGCACAGCCAGCCGCAGCTCACAACGGGCAGTGGACAACATCATGCATTGGTGCAACTGATGAAAACGTTCACTTCTTTAGGGATCGTCAAATCCTAAGCCTAAATCCAGACCCAAAGCCTAGCACCTTGAAGTCAGCTGGTCAAAACTGTATGCAGATAGCATGGGAGTTTGGGGCTTTGGGTGGAAAGATGTGAAGAGGTAAACGGCTTAGGCCACAAGCGAGCTGCGGGTTTAGAAAGTAGTTCGGCCCGTAGAGTCCTTCATGTGGGTCTTTCATGGGACAGGACGTGAGGGTTCAGTGTATGGGCTGAGGGATTTGGATAGTAGGCCCTGTATAGGCCCAACGTACTGCAATCCTTCTTGTTGGGGTTCCCTAAAAATGGGATGAAAGAAGGCCCTCATTTTTGGAAACCCGAGTCCCCATATTCCAGGACATAATCCAATTTTTTATGTCATTATCAATGTTTTTTTCTGATATAACCCTTGAAGCAATCCCTGAATTCGAGTTGTGGAGATTTCTGCAGAGATCGTAGTGGCCAATAAATGGAGACTCTTGTGCTACAGCCTAAAACCCATGGGTTTAGGGTCTAGCCTAGACCTCAGACTGGCGCTCGCAATTATTTGGCCTGGTTAACACTGCCCAGCCTTTGCATCTAAATAATAAGTATCCCTAAACCCCCTTAACCCTACGAAGCAAATTTAAAGGGGCTCCTACGTTCTATGAACGCTAAACGCTCAACCCCGAAACCCTCGCTCCTTAGCCCGAAAGCCCTCAATCCTAGGTCGAAAGCCTGGGTCGTTCTTAATGAGCCTAATTTAAGTTACCAGTTTACGGGTGTATAGTAATTGCCAGGGTTTCCTTATAGTGTTGTAACTTAATTTATGCTCCTTAACTGCAACCCAGAAGCAGCGTGTGTGTGTGTGTGTGTGTGTGTGTGTGTTTTCTTGTGCCATTTGGTTCAAGCCGTGAAGCATTGCAAAGCATTGGGTCTGGGTGCCCAGTTTTTCAGGTGCGTGTTGCCATTGGATTTAGGACTCAGGGTAGGAGTCTAGGGGTTTAGCGTTGACGCATTTTGGGGTCGGTTTTCGGTTTATTGTTTAGGGTTTGGGGTGCAGGATTTGATGATACGGTTGAGTTGTCGAGGGCCGTGGCGCAGGCTTTTATCGAGAAGGTGGAAGAAACGGGAGGCTTCGACACGTTGTGCGCCTTTGAAGGGAGAGTCCTATGGCTGGGAGATTACCGCTTTCCATTGCTGTAGGCCCCTAAATCCTTGACTTAAGGACCCTGAGGTATGCTTGGTAGTTTCCATAAATATGACACTTCAACATAGACCCCTAAATGCTATAAACCTTATTATAAGGACTCCCAAAACGACCTTAAACCCCATATATTATCCCAATCCCAATATCCCCCTTTAAGGACCGCCTAGCTATTTGCCAGGACATGTCATGTGTCGTGGCACAAGTAGTCCCGTAACAAGGGGTAACCCACACCCCAAGCACTGAGCGCATGACCGGCTTTAGGGTTAAGGCTTTTTAGGGTTTAGGGTTTAGGGTAGTTTAGGGTTTAGGGTTTAGGGTAGTTTAGGGTTTAGGGTTTAGGGTTTAGGGTTTAGGGTGTAGGTTTAGAGTTTGGGGTTTCAACCTAGCCAAATCTACGGTCCATGTAAGGGGTAGTCCTTCTGAGGAGAACAAGCTGCACGTATCATATATTCTCTAGCATGACGTGTCCAGGACGTATCCAGTATACTGTATACTGCATGTTAATTCCATGTCGTCTGGTTACTGGTTCTAGCTTCTTGTCATCACATCATGAATTTGGAGCAGTTTGTTCTGTGGTACATTGAATGCAGCATGGTCTGTATTTGTAAGTAAGTGAATGCAAACGTCTCTCTGAAATCAGGCTTTCTTTTCACGGCTATGTTGCATTCCGTGTTGATAGGCTCGCTGGCCAGGATACATTGAGTCGGCGATCTACGGTAGAAAACGGTAGAATTTTTACGTCGCCGAAGAATATCTATTCGGCCTGCTGAGGTACATGTAATGGATACGTGTTTAGGAATCTGGCCAGTTTTGCCCATGTTGGGCCGTATGCGTTTGCATAAGCCCACGTGCGATACTCCTGCCGAGGTGTACGTATATAATCGAGCAGTTTCCATTTTGTTTTCCAGTATGTTAATATAATCCCTTTATCATACCCTAGTAGTTTCCACTTTATTTTCCATTATTCTTATATAATAGCTAGTACACCTCTATATTATACCCTGAATCCCAAATCCCAAACCCTAAAACCTTTTAAAACCCTAGAACCCTAAACCCTAAGCCCTAAATAGTAGTGTCCATTTTCTTTTTCCACTATCCCTATAAAGCCCCTATATCATACCCCTACAACACCTAAGCCCCTAAACGCTATATAACCTCTATAGAACCCTTCTCTCCTCCTTTAAAGGTATCCCTAAACACCAATAACTGTATCTAGGAGCCTGGCCCCGCTTGGGATGTCAACATATTACACGCGCTGCTAGCCATATGAGCTATAGTTTAGGGTTAGGGTTTAGGGATCAGGGTTTAGGGCCGTATTGAGCTATAGTCTAAACTCCTTAAAGGGGGTTATATAAAGGATTATATAGGAGACTACTTTAGGGGAAACTACTTGGGCTACTGGGAGTTAAGACTACAGCTCATGTAGTTGTTTACATCATAGACTTGCGGAAGGGATATGACGTTTCTTATGCTCGTCTTGCCGCTTGACGTGCGGCATGGCAATGTGCTCATCATCTAGTAGCTGTCGAAAAACAGGGATTGTCAAGAGGCGGTTGTACATAACCCAACGCTTCACTATACTGTACGCAAAATATACGTTCATTCCGAAAACCTTAAACCCTTAAACCATGAGCCCTAAATCGAGCACTCTGGCCCTAAGGTCTGGCTTTGTTTTAACCACAGGCACCTTCCCGTTACAGGCCGGGACCTTGGGTTTGGGGTTTAGGATTATAGAAAATATTAAGGGTTTCGTGTCCGGAGTTTTGACCGACTTGTGACCGGCTTTGGAGCGGGTTTTGACGGTTTCTTTTGCTCCTGCTTTAGCCGTTTTGCTCAAAACAATGGCTTTTTGTTGTTTTTCCACTCGCGCCTCGCAACTTTTTGCTCCATGCCTGCCCTTGGAAGCCTCTTTTCTCCAAAGCCCGCACATTGATTCCAAAATAGCCTAAGGGCCTCCTAGGGATTTTCGCCTACTTTGACCATTTTTGAGCATTTCGCGCCTCGCAACCTTTTTTGTCCATGCCTGCCCTTGGAGACCTCTTTTCTCAGAAGCCCGCACATTGATTCCAAAATAGCCTAAGGGCCTCCCTAGGGATTTTCGCCGATTTTGACAATTTTTGAACATTTTGGGCAACCCGGGATTGCCCGTTTTTGATCAACAACTACCATTTTGGGACACCTAAACCATTAAATTTTGGGCTCCAGAGCCTAAGGGCCTCCCTAGTTATGTTCGCGCCTAAGGAGAATTTTCACCCATTTTGATCAT